AGACATCAAAATACCTTTGGACCCGCAAGACAACGGTAATCTTACAGCTATATTCCATGTGATATTTACCCTTCATTTTAGTATTGTGTAGAAACAACCAATACAGAAACAACCAAAATATTAATCATCCACAGAATGGATGGAATATTTTGCAGCTATAAAATATATAAAGAAGCGCTTTATGTATTGTTACAGAAAGCTCTCTGAGATTTGCTGATAAGTAAGAAAAGCAAAAGGAAGAACCATCAACATGCTAAGTTAGTATGTGTGTAAAAAGGGGGAGACTATCAATATATTTGCTTATATATGTATAAAATAACTCGGGGAGGATAAAAAACAAACTGATAACATTGGTTACCTCCCAGAAGGGGAACTAAGTGGAGTGGGCAAGGGCAGGGATGATAGAAGTAGAAGGAAAACTTTTTACTGTATATCCATTTATTCTTTTGAACTTTGAACTGGTAGATGTGTTACCTATTCACAAATAAAGTGAAAAATAAAAAAATGTATTGAAAGAATTATTGGCTTAGAGGAATGGACACAATTCAGGCAGGTAGAAATAGGGAAGGATATTATTCTCCTTGTTCCACATAGGAGTTACAGTAGTCCCTTATCCTTAAGGCATGTGTTCTAAGACCTCCAGTGGATGCCTGAACCCATGGATAATACCAAACCCTATTTACACTGTTTTTTCCTATACACACATACCTGTGGTAAAATTTAATTTATAAATTAAGCACAATAAGCAATTAAGAATAACTAATAATAAAATACAACAATTATAACAATATGCCAGCATCACCACTGTTGTGTTTGGAGCCATTAAGAAAAATAAGGGTTACTTGAACATAAGCACCAAGATACCACAACAGTTGATCTGATAACCAAGATGGCTATGAAGTAACTAATAGGCAGGTAGCATATGCATTGTGGATACACTGGACTAAGGGATAATACAGGGAACATTTTGTTCTCTATTCTTTTTTCCATCAACATCTTTTTCCAGAGTTGCAGCCATACTATGTATTTGAAAATTTCACATAATACTATATGGTGAGCATATTTCTATCCTACAATGTTATCTTGGCCATATAATTCATACAGCACTTACTATCCCTTATTGAAAGTATTTGTCTTGTGTCTCCTGTTTGATTATGAGCCTCTAGAGGATAAGAAGTATCTTTTATTTGTTCTTTCCTGTCAGTATTTGATGCAATGACTCATTATTTTTCACTATCTGTAACAATTTTCTTTAAAAAGTCCCAGCAGACACTTACAAGGACACTTACAATTTTTGTGGTAATCATGCCCAAAATGCATAACCTCATTCCAGTCATGAGAAAACAATATCAAACTGAAATTGAGGGAATTTTTACAAAAAATAACCAAATTCTTTAAAAGTGCAAAGTTATGAAAGACAAGGAAGGATTGAGGAATTATTGTATCAGCCTGGGCAAGACTAAGAAAAAATAACTAAATTTAGTATGTGATCCTGGAACAGAGAAAGAACATTGGTGGAAAACTTGGCCAAATTGAGTAAGGTCTATAATATAGTTGATAATATTGTACCAATATTAATGTCCTGTCCATAATCATTGTACTGTC